GGTTCAGTCATCACCGGTCCCGTTGGTTCAGTCATCACCGGTCCCGTTGGTTCAGTCATCACCGGTCCCGTTGGTTCAGTCATCACCGGTCCCGTTGGTTCAGTCATCACCGGTCCCGTTGGTTGGGTCATCACCGGTCCCGTTGGTTGGGTCATCACCGGTCCCGTTAGTTGGGTCATCACCGGTCCCGTTGGTTCAGTCATCACCGGTCCCGTTGGTTCAGTCATCACCGGTCCCGTTGGTTCAGTCATCACCGGTCCCGTTGGTTCAGTCATCACCGGTCCCGTTGGTTCAGTCATCACCGGTCCCGTTGGTTCAGTCATCACCGGTCCCGTTGGGTGGGTCATCACCGGTCCCGTTGGTTCAGTCATCACCGGTCCCGTTGGTTCAGTCATCACCGGTCCCGTTGGTTCAGTCATCACCGGTCCCGTTGGTTCAGTCATCACCGGTCCCGTTGGTTCAGTCATCACCGGTCCCGTTGGTTCAGTCATCACCGGTCCCGTTGGTTGGGTCATCACCGGTCCCGTTGGTTCAGTCATCACCGGTCCCGTTGGTTCAGTCATCACCGGTCCCGTTGGTTCAGTCATCACCGGTCCCGTTGGTTCAGTCATCACCGGTCCCGTTGGTTCAGTCATCACCGGTCCCGTTGGTTCAGTCATCACCGGTCCCGTTGGTTCAGTCATCACCGGTCCCGTTGGTTCAGTCATCACCGGTCCCGTTGGTTCAGTCATCACCGGTCCCGTTGGTTCAGTCATCACCGGTCCCGTTGGTTCAGTCATCACCGGTCCCGTTGGTTCAGTCATCACCGGTCCCGTTGGTTCAGTCATCACCGGTCCCGTTGGTTGGGTCATCACCGGTCCCGTTGGTTCGGTCATCACCGGTCCCGTTGGTTGGGTCATCACCGGTCCCGTTGGTTGGGTCATCACCGGTCCCGTTGGTTCAGTCATCACCGGTCCCGTTGGTTGGGTCATCACCGGTCCCGTTGGTTCAGTCATCACCGGTCCCGTTGGTTCAGTCATCACCGGTCCCGTTGGTTCAGTCATCACCGGTCCCGTTGGTTCAGTCATCACCGGTCCCGTTGGTTCAGTCATCACCGGTCCCGTTGGTTCAGTCATCACCGGTCCCGTTGGTTGGGTCATCACCGGTCCCGTTGGTTCGGTCATCACCGGTCCCGTTGGTTCAGTCATCACCGGTCCCGTTGGTTCAGTCATCACCGGTCCCGTTGGTTCAGTCATCACCGGTCCCGTTGGTTCAGTCATCACCGGTCCCGTTGGTTCAGTCATCACCGGTCCCGTTGGTTCAGTCATCACCGGTCCCGTTGGTTCAGTCATCACCGGTCCCGTTGGTTGGGTCATCACCGGTCCCGTTGGTTCAGTCATCACCGGTCCCGTTGGTTCAGTCATCACCGGTCCCGTTGGTTCAGTCATCACCGGTCGCGTTGGTTCAGTCATCACCGGTCGCGTTGGTTCAGTCATCACCGGTCCCGTTGGTTCAGTCATCACCGGTCCCGTTGGTTCAGTCATCACCGGTCCCGTTGGTTCAGTCATCACCGGTCCCGTTGGTTCGGTCATCACCGGTCCCGTTGGTTGGGTCATCACCGGTCCCGTTGGTTCAGTCATCACCGGTCCCGTTGGTTGGGTCATCACCGGTCCCGTTGGTTCAGTCATCACCGGTCCCGTTGGTTGGGTCATCACCGGTCCCGTTGGTTCAGTCATCACCGGTCCCGTTGGTTCAGTCATCACCGGTCCCGTTGGTTCAGTCATCACCGGTCCCGTTGGTTCAGTCATCACCGGTCCCGTTGGTTCAGTCATCACCGGTCCCGTTGGTTCAGTCATCACCGGTCCCGTTGGTTCAGTCATCACCGGTCCCGTTGGTTCAGTCATCACCGGTCCCGTTGGTTGGGTCATCACCGGTCCCGTTGGTTCAGTCATCACCGGTCCCGTTGGTTCAGTCATCACCGGTCCCGTTGGTTCAGTCATCACCGGTCCCGTTGGTTCAGTCATCACCGGTCCCGTTGGTTCAGTCATCACCGGTCCCGTTGGTTCAGTCATCACCGGTCCCGTTGGTTCAGTCATCACCGGTCCCGTTGGTTGGGTCATCACCGGTCCCGTTGGTTCAGTCATCACCGGTCCCGTTGGTTCAGTCATCACCGGTCCCGTTGGTTCAGTCATCACCGGTCGCGTTGGTTCAGTCATCACCGGTCCCGTTGGTTCAGTCATCACCGGTCCCGTTGGTTCAGTCATCACCGGTCCCGTTGGTTCAGTCATCACCGGTCGCGTTGGTTCAGTCATCACCGGTCCCGTTGGTTCAGTCATCACCGGTCCCGTTGGTTCAGTCATCACCGGTCTCGTTGGTTCAGTCATCACCGGTCCCGTTGGTTCAGTCATCACCGGTCCCGTTGGTTCAGTCATCACCGGTCCCGTTGGTTCAGTCATCACCGGTCCCGTTGGTTCAGTCATCACCGGTCCCGTTGGTTGGGTCATCACCGGTCCCGTTGGTTCAGTCATCACCGGTCCCGTTGGTTGGGTCATCACCGGTCCCGTTGGTTCAGTCATCACCGGTCCCGTTGGTTGGGTCATCACCGGTCCCGTTGGTTCAGTCATCACCGGTCCCGTTGGTTCAGTCATCACCGGTCCCGTTGGTTCAGTCATCACCGGTCCCGTTGGTTCAGTCATCACCGGTCCCGTTGGTTCAGTCATCACCGGTCCCGTTGGTTCAGTCATCACCGG